ATTTGTATCTAATTCATGAATGTAGTTTTATTGTAGTTTGTCATTGTAAATGGAACAAAGTATCTTTATAGTTATTCTAAAATGTACATTATGTAAGAATTGTAAATATTACACTTGATTAAATACTTTGTATGCTGAAAAATTATGATAAGTCAATAAAAATTTCACCTCTGGCCTAGTTCTTTTATGCTGAGATTTCCACTTTATTGTAAACTACAACTGTAGATATATCTGTTAGCAACTGTCATGTTTAAGGTCCTATCTTACTTTTCCACCCTGTCAAATTGATCCAGATTGCTCTTATTTGCTGATTGCTTCAATAAAGAAATATATTTTGATCTTTAAAATGTTCTCCTGCCTGATCATAGAGTTATATGTCTCTTAATTCATTAGCTAAAAAAGCATAAAGGCTTTTTGGGGGCCCTAGCTCTACTTTCTTGTCATTATGATTGACATATATGTTGAAGTTTCTAATCTGGGCAACACATTCACCCTCAATCATTTTAGTAAACAAAGATTTTTATATGAATTAAGATTGAAGGAATAGAGGGGTTGAAAGAGCAGACTTGAAAGTGAATCAATCGCCTGCCTTTGACTTTCCTTTAAAAGTTAATTGAAAACAGACACATAAAACTTTTCTATAAACTTATTTTATTCATTTTCAGAATATTCTTGAAGAAGAGAACCCACACTAATAGTAAATGTTTTAAATGAAAACAGCTACTTTTTCTTTATTGCAAAATAATGCTTATTCATTGTAGAAAAATGTTTGAATAATAAGTAAAAAGATAATCATCCATAATTCCATCATCTGCCTTTGTTGTCCACTGTGGTATCCACTAACCACATGAGGCTATTGAAATTTAAAATTACACAAAATTTTAAAAGTTTAGTTCATTGTTGCACTGCTATGTTTTAAGAACTCACTAGCCATCTGCCTAGTGACTACTGTTTTGAACAGGGCAGATTATAGAATATATTCATCAGTAATACTGGGTAGTACTGAGGAGGAAACTGTTACTTCCTTGGTATATACCCTTATAGACCTTTGGGTATGTGTAAATTTATATACAATGGGATCAGACTGTTTTGTTACCCACTTCTGTCAATAAATGGAGAACAGATTCCTAAGTCCTTAAGTGTTCTACATCACTTTTGAGAGAATTACCCTGGATGTTTTTTGAACCAAATCCCAGATATTTCACCAACAAATCATTCAGTGTAGATCTCTAAAAGGACTCTTTAAAAAAAAAAAAAAAAGCCCAATTATAATATTACACTTCCTTAAACTATAAACCATGTAGTCAGTATTTAGATTTTTCCTATTGTCTAAAATGTATTTTTTTAAATAGATTCTTCAAATCAGAATTCATTACAGTTGGCTAATATGTCTCAAGTCTCCAAATCTATAGGTTCTTCCTCCATTTATTCTAAAAATTTCCACTTACAGTTTGTTGAATATATCACTTTTACTGAAAGCGTCATTTTAGTTTAACCCCTTTATTGATGAACATTTGATTCCAATTTCTTGCCTAGCTCTGTTTTATCCTTATGGCTAGATATTTGGGTACATTCTTGATTATTTCCTTAGGGTGAATTCCTGTTAGTGAAAATGCGGGCTCACAATGGGTGGGTATATCTTTGCTCCTCATTCAATGCGTTAGTCGCTGTGTTAGGTACTGGGGATAGTATGGTAAAAAGGTAGACATACCTCCTGTTCTCTTGGAGCCTTGGCTTCTTGCAATGGAGAAAGGTGGGGCTGGGTAATTTATAGGTGGCCCTCGTGGGATTGTTGAGGATGGTGCCCCAGCTGGACACTGGATGAGTTGTTTAAGAGACCACTCGATGAGGCCCTATCATCTAAGCCAAATTCTGAAGCAGGAGAGGTTGGCTGGGTGAAGGTCTAGAGCAATGCTTTTCAAACTTTGGTCTGTAAAACAATCACCACTGAGGCTCAGGCTCACTGAAGATCAATAGGATGTGAGCCTTTATATTTTTACCAAGCTTCTCAGGTACTTCTAATGCCAACTAAAATTTGACAACCACTGTGTCAGGGAGTAACATTCATTTGATAGGAGAGAGAACTGAAAGTTAGCTTAGAGGCTGGAAAGATTTTAATATTGCCAAAGGGCCCTCCTGAAAAGTTGTACCAATAAACAAACCTTCATTTGCTGTGAAGGAATATACCTGTTTCTCTGTATCTTTGACAATATTAGATAGTAGTCAATAATAAAAAAAATCTGATAATCTATTCAATGTTACAGATGTAGAAATTACACAGCAGGAAAAACCAATTATCTCTAATCTCTGGTCAGAAATCAGAGAACTTGGCCAAAGTTAAAGTTAGAACTGAAGGGTTAATGTGCTTCTCAAAATTCTTTGTATCTGTTTAGCTGTGTTATTACATACCCAGATATATCTATTTTAAGCTGAGAAAATAGCACACATATCACCATCTGACACACTACTTACTTTTACTTTTTCTTGTCTATTTTCCCCTGCTAGAATATAAACTCCATGAGGGCAAGGATTCTTGTTTTTTGTCCCCTCCCCACTTTAATCCTCCTCCCCCCACTTCCCCCTCCCTGACCTGTGGATGTTGCTGTTTCCCTTCTTTTAAGAACTGGATCTCTGAAGGCAGGGCATCTCCCTCCATGCGCTCGGGGGCACACACCCTGAGCCTAGTACCCCCGGCGCACTCTGGGGCCCAGGCGCCGGGCATACCCGGGGCCTGGCGCACCGGGGTATGGTCTGTGGCTCCACCTGTGGTGCGAAACCAGGACCTTCTGTGTGTAAAGCAGACGTGCTCACCATTACACTATGGAGCCACACCCAGGATTCTTTTTTTTTTCACTGCTACATCAGGTGTTACTATAACTGGCATGTAGTAGTTATTCAATATCTACTGAATAAATAACTGGCTACCTTCAACTCACTATTTTAGCTTCCAGTCAACAGTATGCTTCAGGAAGCTGCAAAATTAATTTTTTCTTATGGTCAAAGAATGGGGAATGAGGAAGCCAGAGATAAGACCAATCTCTTGAGTATTTTCTTGTGTCTACTGATATTTCTATATAAAATTTAAATTATCTCGTTATTCATTTCTCATCCATAAATTCCATGAGTAGTGAGGTCTTATAAAGGTTTTAAGAATAAAATATTTGTTGAATAAATTCTAGAGTAAGTGGCAGAGTTGAATAAATTCTTGATGGTATAGGTCAGCAGACTGAAAGGCACAATTCAAGAATTCTTCCTTATTAATGAACAATAATTAGAATGTAATAATACAGCTTGAGCATACTGCTGTGGGGATTCCGTGAACATGTAATGAAGTCTTAATGGAAATTTGGAGTTTAGTCTTTGTAAATAACCAAGAAAAGCGATGGTTGCTAAATTATATCTTGGTATTTGTAGGATATTTAGACTTTTTTTTTAGAGCTTGGTGTTTCTAGCATAGCTTGTATTTGTTTACTACATGTTAGGTCTTGTTCTAACTGCTTTTTAATCTATTGTCTCATAATTCTGTGAGGCATAGTACCAACATTAGCTCCATTTTACTTATGTGTGTAATTGCAACTTGGAGAGATTAAGTAACTTGCCTGGTGTCTGTCAACTTGTGGTGGCAGAGTGGACTTCCAGAGTGGAAGTCCAGCTCTCTTGCTCTTAATGAGCTCTTAAGTGAACCTGCTTTCTTAACCACAGTGTTATCTGCTGAAGGTTCTGATATAATACACACAACTCAGAGCTCAAATTACTGCTTTCAGTGCTAATCTTGGCTAAAAGCTTGAACTTTGGGAGCAGTGAGACTTGGGTTAGCATCCTGGCTCTATTACTTACTAGCTAACTAGATTTGGACGAGTTACTTCTCTAAATCTCAATTTCCTCAATTGTAAAATACAAATATTACTTCATAGAGTTGTGAGGATTATGTGAACCAAAGTAAGAACTTGTTACTCAACTGAGTTAATTCTGCTATTGGTTTTTTTTTTAAGGTGGGTAGTATGCATTGAATTTGTTGAGAACCCTGTTTTAGAGGTCCAGTGTTTTCCAGAAAAGTATTGCTCCAGTTGAAAAGAACAAGAATTAAAAATGAGATAAATTGTGGTCTGGAAACCACACTTTAAGAAAAATGGCATGGCACAATAAACTGGTGAGAGATAACTGTACATGCATTTGTGCATTCATTTTCACCACCTCTTTCAAGCATGTAGACCATTTGTATATGTTTACTTACACGCTATGGTATATATCAGTCCTTAGGACACTGAAGTTAATGAGTTTTTATGTGGTTGGCAGTGTCCAACTGTCTAGGGTTAAAACTGCCACTGTGTGTGACTTTAGAGAAGTTACCTCAATGTGCCTTAGTTAAGAATTTGCAAAACTACTGGTACATACTAAAGCTCTTTACAAGTGTTGACGTTTGTTTAAAACAAATTAGTATCCCAATCTCTGGTATTCTTAGAGGCTCTCTGAATTATCCCGAAGTTTTGGGCAGCGGGGTCCCTCTGCTGGCCACATCCTTTAGCTGCCAAGTCGGGTGAGCAGGCGATTTCCACCTCAAGTGTCAACCCTACTTTACCGTGAATGGAGAAGGGACTTGGTAGTTTAAATTCCAAAGCCCCATCTAGTCTCCAAGGTATGAAGGGAGTCGGGGAGAGGACTTAAGGCCTCCAAAAAATTAGGGGGAGAGGGGAAGGTATAGAGATAATTTTTTTCTTGCGTACAGACCTTTTTGTTAAACGAAGGTCCTCAATTCCTTTCAAGGCTCAGCTTCAATTCAAGCTCTGGGGTTGGGCACTTAAGAGTGCCAGTTTTCACAGATTGTACACCCCGCTGGTCTTCTCTATGTTCGAATCCTCATCGGCTGCTTAGACCACGCTGGGCGCGGTTACTTCGGACACCGGGTCAATCTCAGTTCTAATCCCTCTGAATCTAGGACCCAGCGGCTGCCGGGCAACCTTGGCCACACCTCTTCGCGCATCAGCGTCCGCAGATTGGCTCTGGGCAGCACGGCCCCGCCCCCGCCATGGCCGCCGCCTGCGGGTGCTACTAAGCGGCTGCCGCGGCATTGGTTTCTGCGGTCCTTCTCTACCTGCTAGGTCTCCCGGTCCGTGGCGCATGGGTCTCTTCCGAGGCGGGCCCTCATGCGCTCGGGCCATGGCGCGCTTGGGCGCTGTGCGCTCCCACTACTGCGCGCTGCTCCTGGCCGCGGCGCTTGCCGTCTGTGCCTTCTACTATCTGGGCTCTGGCCGGGAGACCTTCTCCAGCGCCACCAAGAGGCTGAAGGAGGCCCGCGCCGGGGTCCCTGCCGCACCCTCGCCGCCCGCGCCGGAACTGGCGCGCGTCTCTTTGGCGCCGGCCCTTGGTGCCAAGGCCAAGAGCCTGGAGGGCGGCGGAGCCGGGCCGGTGGACTACCACCTGCTGATGATGTTCACCAAGGCGGAACACAATGCCGCGTTGCAGGCCAAGGCCCGCGTCGCGCTCCGCTCCCTGCTGCGCCTCGCCAAGTTCGAGGCTCACGAGGTGCTTAACCTGCACTTTGTGAGCGAAGAGGCCAGCCGCGAGGTGGCCAAGGCTCTGCTGCGGGAGCTGCTACCGCCTGCCGCTGGATTCAAGTGCAAGGTGAGCGGGGCTGCAGCCGGGGGCTCCCGGCGGGTGGCCCATCCCGTCCCCAGCGCGGTCCACCAGGTTTCACGGGTCGGTAGAGGAGTGTTTTCATTGCGCTGCCCACTTTCAACGCCTGTAGAAGCCTAACCTTTATCCCCCTCCTGGCCCTCGCCCGAAATATGCTTTCACAGCATGCTGGAGGCATCGTGGGGGCGTGTCCAGGAGCCAGAAGTACTCAGCTGGTGCAGGAGTGGAGCGGCGGTGTTACAGACAAGCCTGACCAGATCTCCCCTCCACTAACTGCGGCCCCCTGGGGAACCGGCATGCCGCCTGTGCTAGCGTTGCAGGATTCAGCAGTAACTTCAGAGTCTGCACCTCTTTTTATTCTCCTCAGTCTTTGACTTTTGAGAATGAAAGTACCTGTAGTCATTCTGTGCAGAGTCTGCTGGACAGGGTCTTGGTGAGGCTGCTTGAATTGTTGATGTTGCAGTGACATTTCTCATAGTTTTTAAGGTATTTCAGTCGGAACTGGTCAAGCCCAAACCCAGACAGTGTGAACCATCTCATCCCTTCTCTCCTACCCTCAGGGTCATGAACTCATTTAGAGAAGCTGAGAGTTCTTCCAAGGGAGGACGAGAGAGCTGTACAAGGTACAGATATGATCTGGGGAGAGAACAGCTAGCCACCTTGTTTCAGACTGGACCAACCTGCCTCAGTAACAGCTCCCACTTCTCTCCATCATCTCAAATTGTGTTCCTGGCTTAGTGCTAATTGCCTCAGTCAAATTGCTTGCCTCATTTTGATCTAATAGTTGCACAGAGGGGATCCAAGGTGTGATTTTTGGGTAGTAGTAGTAGATGATCTTAAAGGATAAATACTGATGTTGGTGGTGGGGAATGGTAGTGAGACAAGAGTTGTTAGTGTTCCATGTATTTGTGCCAAATAAGTGACTAAGGGGATCTGATGCCAGGATCCTGCAGGGTTCAAGGGTCTGCCATGGCTTTTTGTTGCCTACAGAATCAAGTCCCAGTTTCTTGTGTTGTGGGTCTGGCCTCTCCAGCTTCACTTCTCATCCTTCCCCTTCATGCACCTTAGATCTTAATTGTACTAAATGTGTCTTTACACACGTGTATTCTCTGCCCCAGAATGTCCTTCATTTCTTCTTGATCCCTTGGCCACTTTTACTTAGCTTTCATCTCCCCTGAGAGTGTCCCTAGACATAGAGACGGTCCTGGCCCAGTTCTGCACAGCTCTCCATTCTTGCTTCTTCACATAGCATCAAAGATCTGTCCCCTGTCCATCAGGAACACCCACCATAGTCAGAGAAGGTCACCTGGGCTTGGACTTCATGCTGTGGGAGGCCAAGAACCCAGGGCCTGGAGCTTGTGGCTGGAGGTGCCCTTGGGACCCACTGTCTGCCCTGAGGTTTTTCAGCCTGGGCCCATCCTCATTTACCTAATTGGAATCTTCTGACTGGGAGGTAGGGCCTAGCAACCTGACTCAGGTGGTCCTTAGGACTGTAATGTTTGAGAAACTCATACATTAGTCCGGTGGAGTAAACTGACAGCCCTTGGCCATAGGGCCAGTCTGGGCAGAGCTGTGATTTGATCAGCTCTCCAGATAGCACCCTGAAGACCAGCATAGTCATCTGTTCACTTTTTGAGTCGGAGGTAGCAACTCAGGCCTACGCTACACCATGGCTAGATCTCTACCATCTGTTATCCCGGGCTCCAGCCATAGCTTCTTGTTGCACATCTACAAGACAAGTGTTTGCTTATGTTGTTCCACTGTCAGGATGCTTTCTCTTTCCATCTCCAAGTTTTGCTCATCTTTGGATACCATCCCCTCCTTGGAGCTGTCCAAGGAACCCCCATTTGAAAGGTATGTCTTCCTTTTCCTCCCTCGAGTACTTTCCTGGTGCTGTAGCTGTATCATGTCTTATCTCTCATTCCTATGCATAATGCCTGGCCCATAGTTGGTACCAGAAATATTGGTCCAAAGAAGGTCCACCCTCAGGGCCAGGTTCCCCATCTTGGAGTCTGTGTTTCATGTGTTTCTCTCCCTTTGCTGGGCCCAGTTCTGAAGGCAAAATCTGGAGGCATCTGCAGATGACCTGAGGGAATCGACATCACCCTGTTGAGCATGAGGGGTGAAGGTTTGGGGGCTTCTAGTCAAATGGTGTAGTGAGATAAGGATTTCTCAGTGCCAGCGGAAAATTGCTGCTATTACTTTGGAGTTTATATTTTGTGAATCTGGTTTTTTGTTTGTGATAAAAGGTGCTCTTTTTTCTTTAGATGCCTGGTCCTAAAAAGTTTGCCTTATTTAATTTTTCCTTAGGTTTGGAATATTCTTGAAAAGAAAGCTGCTTCTGGCACCACTTCACACATGCCTTTACCTCTGCCTGGAGCACCTGCCACTTGCACCCCCATCCTTAACCGATACTCTGCTTTCAGATCTCAGTGTAAATGTTATTTCTTGGTATACCTTTCCTGAGTTCCCATTATATTCTTTTATATCACCAAGTACTTTTCCTTAGTAACATTTATTACAGTAGTAATTATATAATTTTTGAATGAATTACTTGTGTGCCTTTCTAAACTATAAACTCTTTAAAGGCATGGACCCTGATTTCTCTTAAATATTGTATCCCCAGCACCAAACATCATGCCTTCTCTATGGGAGTGCATTTTATACTGAGAGTCATATTCCAGTATTAATTAGAAATTAATTAATTCTCACCCTGGTTGCATCAGAGCTGGAAGGGATTTTCAAGAGCATATATAGCACAATAGGTGAGGAAATTTGCCCAAGGCCACTCAGGGGGTTACTGACCTGTGTCTTAAGCCAATGTTTTTCCTTTTGTACCATGTTTCCCCTTTAAGGAGCATTTCTCTCTTGTGAGATAAGGTAAGGACACTCCCAGGGAGGGTTGCCTTGAAGTATGTTAGAACACCTTGGGAAGCGAAGGCAGCTTCCTGCCCACCCAACTGCTGGAGACAGCCTGGGGCTCCTCCTCTCTCAGGGTGAGCAGAGCAGGGCTACAGTGAGCTGGCATACAGCTTGTGCTGAAACCCAGAGGTCTCTCCTCAAGGCTATTTTCAAGTGACACAGAAACAGCTTTTATTGAAATGGTTGCAGAAATAGATCATAGTACATTATTAGAGACCTCAGATCATATTTTGATTAATTAAATACTTAAAAAAAAATTCACTTAACCAGAAAAATCTTGTTTCAACTATTATTGAAAGTTTTGCACAATCTACTGTTTTGTTGTCCTCTAGCAGTGTGGAAGTGTATTATTTGTTCACTTAATTAATAAACATCCAAACCTGTTATTTTCCAGGTATCGGGTAAGGAGCTGCTTTTAGCCTATACAATAGGTCCATGGACTAACTACATAGAATCACCTGAGGACAGTTACTAAAAGCACAGACTCCTGTACCCCGCTCCAGTTTATGGGTCAGACTGTACTGGGTGGGTCTGGGAATCTGCGTTTGTATGGGGCTGTGGAGGCTGGTGTGGCAGTCACTGCTGTAAAGGATACAGGAGTGCCTGGTGCTCTCCTGACATCTTTCAGACCCAGCTCAGGGATTCTCTCCTGTGCAGCCTTCCCTGGGAGGCACAATTTCTGGCACCAGCTAGGCATTGAGGAAACATTTGGCTAACAGCTCTCTTTCATCCAGGCTATGTGGCTCTGCTGGCCTGGGAAAGGCCGCTATATCCACTTTGCTAAAATGCTGATGCTATCAAACCACTTCCACTCAACACCTCCTGGCTCCTGGCTAACTGTCATCCCAGGTTACTCCAACGTTCTAGACCTGCAGCAGCTGGCTTCACCTTCCTTGTCCAGTCTTTCCTCCCTAAGCTGCAGGAAAAGCTGTTCCTTCTCATGGTGCTTCGCTTGCTCTGCTTCGGAGCCCTCTGCTGTCTGTCAAGTGGAATCCCACACTCCTCAAACTTAGGTTGAAGACTTTTCTCTTCCATAAGATTTCCTTGCTGTTTATCAGGTTTGATAAACTATGCCATGAAAACCCCAAACAGTGGTGGTTTAAACAAGACTGAGTTAATTTCTCCTCTAAAAAAAGTCCAGAAGTAGGC